GAGTAGGCACAGTACGCAACCAGGTAACGCTTGCCCCCATGGTCAAATAGGTCGACACCAATTCGCTGCCACGGCCGCGTTGGGATTTCCCTCGATAACAGTGGCTCTGAAGGTTGCCGGTAGGCAAAGTGCTGACATGTGGCACACTTGCTAATGAGTGACTTGATGTCAGCATTCATCCCAGGCCAGTACATCAGAAGGCGTGCTCTGGCTTTGCACTTGCTCATTCCCAAATGGCCTTCATGAAGACGTTGCAGCATGGATCGCCTCAGACTCTTTGGGATTACCACCCTGCTGCCCCGCAAAAGCACTCCATCAACATATGACAGTTCTGACAAACATGGAGCTAGTTCGCCTGAGACTGGTCGTCCTTCCTGGAGTGCCTCCACCACTTGCTTGAGGTATGGGTCCGCCAGGATTGCAGAGGTCAGTTCAGTCTTCGTGTTCTCACTTACGATGCTGGCTAGCACGCGAGTCGCATGGATGCATACGTCTTGTTCGCTTTCTCCGTCACTCGGTTGGGTTCCTGGAATTCGGGACAGTGTGTCCGCCACTAGCAGATGCTTCCCAGGAACATATTGCAATTTGATATCAAAAGGCATTAGCCTCAAGAAATAGCGCTGCAATCGTGGCGGCATTTCACTCAGGTTCTTTTGTGAAATAGCAAGCAAAGGTCGGTGGTCTGTTTCGACTGTCACTGATAACCCCAGTACGAACTCCCGGAAACGCTCACAAGCAAACGTCACGGCCAGCGCTTCCTTTTCAATTTGGGCATATTTTGTTTCAGCCTTTGAGAGCACCCTTGAAGCATAACCCACTGGGCGCCAATCTTGGTCATGGAGTTGAAGAAGAGCAGCACCTACTGCAAAGCTTGATGCATCAGCTGAGAGTTTCGTTTGCTTCACTGGGTCAAAAACTGCGATCACTGGAGCCGATGTCAAAGCCTTAATAAGATCTTTCCATTCTTTGTCATGGTGAACTTCCCATATGAATTCAACATCATTCTTTATCAATGACCTAAGGGCGTCAGTTCTTTTTGAGAGATTAGGTATGAATTTGCCAAGTAATTCATAATACCTAAAAACCTTTGAACTTCCTGTTTACACGACGGCTTTTGCATGTTGGCAACGCATTCAATGAGACTAGCATCGGGTTTTATTCCTTCTTTGCTGATACAATCTCCCAGGAATTTAACTTCGGCCTTCGCGAACAGACACTTTTCTTTGTTCAGTGTCAGGCCAGCCTTTCTCGCTGCCATCAGTGCTGCACGCAGGCGTTGATCATGCTGCTCTTTTGATGCACCCCAAATTAAAATATCATCGACATATACGCGTGTGCCCGGCAGGTTTTCAAACACTTCCGTCATTGCCTTCTGAAATACTTCGGGGGCGGACGCGATACCAAATGGCAGGCGCAAAAATCGGTATCTTCCGAACGGCGTGCTAAAGGTGCAGATCTTTGAAGTGTCTTCGTCTAAGGGGATCTGGTGAAACCCGCTATTGGCATCAAGCTTGGTGAACATCACCGCTCCTGCCAGCTCTGCTTCTATTTCTTCACGTGAGGGTAGCTGATAATGCTCGCGTTTAAGGCTTCGATTAATGTACCGCGGGTCTAGGCATATTCGCATGCGGCCATTCTTCTTCATAATAAGAACAAGTGGACTCACCCAGTCTGACGGCTCTTCCATTTTGCATATGATGCCCTGCGAGACCATCCGGGCCAACTCCTGCTTAAGTGGCGCTCGCAGTGCGTGTGGCACTTTCCTCGGCGGCATGATCGTGGGGCGCGCATCATCCTTCATTGCCAGCGAATATGGTCTACGGATGCAGCCCAGACCGTGGAATAACTCCGGGAACTCGGTGACCCAGTCGGTGCTAACGTCACTTCTTGAAGATACATCGTGAACGCGGGAAATCAGCCCGAAACGTTCTGCTGCATTCAATCCGAGTAGGACTTGCTTGCCTCTCTTGACCACAAAAAAACTGATATTCTCTTGCTGCTCTCCTAGACGTAGTGGCAGACTGATAACGCCCAAATGATGTATTTTGCTTCCTTCGTAGTTAGTAAGTACTGTGGTCGATGGCCGCACCATGGTCGGCAAACGCATCCTGCGAAAGTACGAGTACGGCAATATGTTCGCTTGCGCTCCTGTATCCACTTTCAGTTCTGTCGGGTGCCCGGCAAGGTCCCCTGCCACCGTCCAATCCTGATTTTTGGACACGTTTCTGATTTGTACCGTGAGAACTTGAATGTCTTCATCGGTAGCGTCCGAGGACTCCTCCAGTGCATCTTCTGTTGCAGCGACGCCTAACTCATGAACGCCGCGTCTACTCCTGCAGCAAGCTGCAAAATGGTTTCTTTTGTTGCACAGCGTGCACGTTTTTCCAAACGCTGGGCAGCGTCTTGGTCCGTGAATCTTGCCACAGTAGCCACAGCGTCGACGTTGTCCGCTCGTACGAGACTGTCCGGCAGCGTTTGCAATTTTTTCGACTCTCTGCACTTTCGCTTCGCTTTCAAGAGCCCGGTTCTGCGTTGCTGCCAGTTCCGCGGCTTTGCAGATTTCTACAGCTGATTCTAGGGTTAAGTCCTTCTCCTGAAGCAGGCGTGCACGTAGCTTCTTGTCGACGATACCGCACACTATCTGGTCCCTCACCATCGAGTCCCTAAGTTCGCCAAAATTACAAGTCTGTGCTTTCAACTGAATGTCGCGCAAAAACTGTTCGAAAGGTTCACCATCCTGTTGTTGCCGACTGCGCAGAACGTACCTCTCGAATGTCTCGTTGCACCGAGGCGTGCAGTAGTCTTCGAAGGCTTTGACGATCGAGTCATAGTCCTCTCGTTGTTCTGCTGATAGAGGTAGGGTGTTAAACACTTCAATTGCCTCTGGGCCCGCGACGTGTAGAAAGATGGCAGCCTTCTGTGCTGGCGTCCGTTTCTTGTTGGTCTCAGTAGCTTTGAAGTAGAGTTCGATTCGTTGGCGGAACTTTTTCCAGTTGTCGGCCGGAGTATTTGTCAGTACAAGTGGCTCGGGTGGTGGTAGGCAGTCCATCTTCAGCGCAGGGTTCGACTGTTACACTTCTGACACCATGTTCTGCTTTACGCGCTCCGCAAAGTCACAACCACACGAGACGCTAGCTAGCAAGGGACTGTTTATTGATGGCTGCCGCGCCGCGCGCGCGCCCTCTCTCAAGGTGGCCAGGTGAGGTGGGATCATCCCGATTTATTAAGCGGTGGCCCGCCTGGTACATGTTCTACCACACAGCCACGCGTCTGCTTGAACGTGTAGTGAAAACAACTTACTCTGCTTAGAAAACGCAGCAAAAAACAAAATAAATAATAAATGGGTCCGAGATAAGATCGAACACGGGGAGTTTGCGTGGCAAGCAGTGTCCTACTACACAGCCACGCGTCTTTTTTTGTTTTCTTTATTGCCTTTCTGCGACATTCAAAAGATACATAAAATGAACGGGATGTTTACAATGCATTTATTAATTGGCCGCCCACCATTGCTTGGCACCACACAGCCACGCGTCCTGCTTGAAGATACAGTGAAAAGAACTGCCTCTGCTTGGAAACGCAGTGAAAATCACTCGTGCTTTACAAGCACACGCGTTTTGTATGCACGCTTCACAATACATGTAATGTCACAGTAACATTGCGTTGTACAAGAGTACATTGCCACCGGGTGTCAGAACATGTGGTCGGTTGATTCCTCAGCATCTTGGTGCGACCTCAGAACGTTTGATTATCGTAGCTAGCTGGTGCTTTAAAGTGAGCCATCCATTACAAAGGTACATAAATTACTGTAGACGCGTATTCCTTTAAGTCCAAGTAGTGGGTGCATAGCAAGTTCGAAACCTTTTCACGCGCATAATTGCTTGTGGTTCAAAACATGCCACTCATTACACAGAATGCAGCCATGCATACGCAAAAGCTTCACTAATATTTGGCACTTACAGCTCTTTATCGATTACGTTAAAATTATCCACAAGTTAAACTTTTCGAGACACGAGTAACGTCATACAATAAAAAAGTATGCGCCAAGTGTTTGAAGTACGTACTAGGGATAGGATATCGCTGTCGCGTTCAACTCTTCGAGGTGAAGCTTAAGGGTCCCCCAATTTGCTTAAGGGTCCCCTCAGCGTCGTTGAGCTGGCAGCCCTTTCCCGGGACTTGACCTCCACGCTGCCCCTGGTGAACTCACTATTTGCCTCGTTCGGTTTTTGACACTTCTTGATCAGTCTTAGCACATGTTTTTTTCCCTAGCCAGCATTAGAGTTCCATCATCTTTTGTAAATACATCCGTTTTCTTCGTGCATAAACGGCCTCGTTATTGTCCCGATGACTGTTAAGTCGTCGTGGTTCTTTTCCCACAAACACGAGCGTTTCGTATAGAGCTCTGTCTCGCCACATACAGCTCGTTACAGTCCCTCAATTAAAAAAAAAAAGCTAGCATCATCGCCAGGTAGTATGATCAGACAACTCGGGAAATAATAGAGGCTTGGCACATTTCTAACACAAACTCATGTATAAGCGTTTCATATATCGCCCTGCAACTAAAGGAGATGTCCTTAATTGAATAGGAATTCATGACAAACCTTTCGTGCTGTTTCACATCTTTTTGGGACCACGTGCATGTAATATATGTGTGAGTCGACGTGAATAAAAATTAGTTGCGAGGTCCAACGCTCGTGTCTGTGTAGTTTTCTTCATCTGTGTCGTGTGTTATTTCGCACCGTTCATAACTATGAACCAACACCGATTCGCCAAACTGCCAGTGCTATTGTAGAACATTCATTAGTTCGTGTATTGCGATAGGTCGCACAGCCCTGCGTATTGCTTATAAATGCACTCGCTGAAAGTTCACTGTAAAATATCATACTGTTATATGGCTAAAACGTCACTTAAGATCTTATTCGTCTCTTTCCGTGATTACTGAATGTAGCCCAGTAGAAGCTCGACAAAGTCTCGGTGATGGAAAACTCGCTGTCGCACACACTGTGCGAAACTGTGACGTCACCAGTGATCACGATGAGTCGCTGCGTTTTCGGAACCAGACGCGGAGTCCTCCATTCGCTTTGAGGACGACCTCGTAGGCTGGCACCACGTCTTCGATCGGCAGTGCCGCCTCCACCGTGAATTTAGAGAGAAGCTTCGCCAACAGGACCTTTGCTTCCACCATCACGAATTTCTGGCCTGTCGAGAGAGAATGTCGTTGGGACATTAAAAGATGACATGCTGTAACATGAGAAAATGTACTGCAAGAGAAACATTGAAATTTTACGGGGTCTTCTACGTAATCATTACGAAGACGTCAGGGCCAAAGCCGCCCCAGTGAGTTCCAAATGCATTTTGAATCAAATCAATGGTTTTGAATGAACTTGACCCCAGACCATTTTGTGTGCAGAAGATACTAGGACCTTGGGCATCTGCCTCAGTTGCGCAGAAAGCAACTAAAGCACTGCTACTTTACCTAAAGTCAACAAACCTGAGCGACCGCCTGTAGACTGTGTGTGCTCCCCGAGTGTGCTCGTGATTGTGTGTACCTTCTCATCTCTCTGCAACGTCTTTTCTCCCCTTTATCCCTTCCCCAGTGCAGGGTAGCAAACCGGATGTGCGTCTGGTTAACCTCCCCTGCCTTTCCTTGCATCTTTATCTCTCTCTCTCCAAATGCAACCTAAGAATAATTAAAATCTGCACCCCCAGAACTGCGCCGCGCCTTCCACTCATACGTGCAAGAGGATCGTGAAAGGCAGTTTCTACTCCAGCCACAAGCATCTTTTTACTACTATTTTAAAACTACCTACACTGGTGAATAAAAGGTTATTGTCCCTGTTCAAAATATTACGTTTGTTCTAAAAGTAATTTCAAGGTTTGTGTTGATAATTTTCGGAAATTTGAAGTTTTTAGACAGATAAAGCAGAGTCACCAACACGTGTTTCTACTGTGAAATCGTCTACCATAAATACACAGAGTGGGTCCGATGCTACGATAGTACAGGGACCGCAAATGGATGGGGTAGCAACAATACGAAACTTATCAAGGTATCGGGGACGGCTTTCAGCTCTCCCATAGTACAGTACTAAGTACTGTAAATCGTTAAACCTTTTCTTCTAAACACAACAATTGTGGCTTGTGAGTGGAGCTTTGATTTATTCTTAGGTTATGACCAAGCACAAGTCTGGCTGCTTAGACCCTCTTTCCCCGCTAACAGCCGTCTGCATACGCGAGGTCCTTTATATAAAGCAAACGCCTTTAATGTCTCACTCGCGTACGTCCATCCGTCTGTGTCTTGGAACGGTGCCAACTGTGATCCCTCCCTTCCCACCCCCTGAGAAATCACGTGATTACAGAGAGAAGCAGGGGTGGCTATACGACGGACGCGGGACTAACCCACACCCTAGGGAGCTTCGCCCCTAAAGGACATGTCACAGTCAGTCGAATTCCAAACCGCAATTCTTAATTACACACAGCGGCGTAGCCACATGGGAGAAAACGTTCGATTACGCGTACCGCGCAGCAGTCAAGTAACAACGTGTGCCGTTCGCGTCCCAGCATCGCGTGGCTGAGTGCGACGTAACCACGAACGCTGGACGTCAGGTAATTTACCTCGCGAGCAATATATATTTTTTCCTGAATAAAGTTGAGCCATGATTCACCCCTTCGTGCATTTACACGTCCTCTGTCGAGCAATCTGAATGTAAACACGTTTGATGTTGAAAACCTCTGGAGATTGCAGCAAGTTGCATGTGCCATTGACCATTTGAAGCGACGGCGATTGTTTGGTACGGGACAAAGGAGCACCAACTGCCCTAACTGAAAGGTTGTGCTCTAGGTGAAAATCTCAAAGATGCTATATGATCCACTGTGCTAATTTTCTGCCAGAAAATCTTGGCTGGCACATGATTTGACGTCTTTTAATATGATGGGATCACGGGCAAACAGCAAGCATAACTACTAGGCGGCAGCTATTCGGATATTTTAAATAGTTAATCTAAAAATGTTCTGTTCAATTCGATCTTCAACTTGAGTAGTGCATATTTCGAAATATCCAATATTTTTTCAACATTTTTTGAATAATCAGCATGGACAGAAAACTGAAGCAAGGCTGAAAGTTGGGCTAGTTGGTGATGTTTCTGCCAATAATGGACAGAAAACTCTGAAGTAACAATAGGTTGGAACAGCGAGCATTGTTAACGTTTTAACAATTTGACCAATAAGATGGATGAACTCCAGTTTTTAAGGGACTATCGGTGCTATATAAGGAAACTGGCTTGAGAATGACAGTGTGCATCAGAGATCTTTGGCAGAAGCCTTCGTCAGCAATGGGCACAGAACAGGCCAATACGACAGTCGTTCAGCTTACCCAGGCAAACTCTGACGCCACTGGAGAAAGGAATGAAGCTAAACGGGTGCATGTTCTTGCAGTTCTCCGGCAGAAAGCGCTCAGGAATGTAGCTCTCCGGTTCGGGGAATTGCTCCTTGTTCCTGTGCAGGCTGTGAATGTTGATCATGCACGTCGTCCCGGCCGGCACGGTGTAACCATCTGCGAAACATTTCCGACAAGACCACTTTATCCGATTCCGTTATACCGTATGTAAAAAAAACACTGAAGAGAAACAATAGTTTGGTTTAAATTGATAAACTGCACTCTGAGAACTTTATTATTACCAGTCTCTCAATGATAAGATCGTTATTAGCAGTAAATATTAGGGTTGAAGTTTCATTTTTAAACTTCGCGCCAAAATCTGCACGCTGTCGCCAAAAAATTCAAAATGTGTTTTAGACGCGAAGTAGCGTGTGGTCGATCTCAATCTGGTGTACGGCTTGACCACGCTTAGCGCGCGTGCACGTCCCCTCTCCCTCCCCCTTCTGTCTCTCCTCGCAACGCCTACACAGCAGCGTCTGCTATAGTCTGCGCTCGCTATCCTCTCTCTCCCTAGGCATCCCTCCTCGTGGCGCGAACGCCCCCATTGAGTACGCACGCCCCCTCAAACAAACCCGACCTATGTTTAACCAGTGGCACCATTTCAGGGTGTTCCGTTCTGCGCAGAGAGGCAGTCTAGTTCGAAAAATCCTGCGAAAGCTGTAAAGAAGTATTGCAAAAAAAAAAAATAATCAGTGCAGAAAGACGAGGTGCCTCGCCGTAGACAGAAACCATGTCAGTCAAGCGACGTGTTCTAGATAGCTCAACATCTCAGAACGAACATGGCGAAATAAGTATGCGGCCTTAAATTGAATACTGGTATACAACAGCTCCATAAAAGAGGCATACAGAGGTATCAGACTATGATTTGCTAAAGGTAATGGCGTTCATTTGGCTTAGGTAAGTGTTGTTGAGAAATGCAATCTGTAAGAGCAAACAGCACCATGCCGTTTGTTTCAGCTGCTGCTGTGGCGCCTTTCTTAAAATTTTTAAACTGTTTATGCATCACAACGTAAGCTATCGTAAAATGATCACACATACCAATGACCAGTTCCTCATCCAGTTCCCGGCCTATCAACGGAAACGGTGGACAGAGACGAAGCGACTCCTGCACGTGACAATAACACCTAATTAAGCACAGCAGAATATGATACTGATGATAATTATGATAAATAAAGTCTATTTCGGGAACATTATACTGACGTTTTACTCTAGTTTGGAGTTTTTGTCAATCCTGAAGCATTCAAATCGTGACTGTACAGAATAACGTAAATTTTCAGTTACATATTCAAATAATTCATTCTTGCGAATACTACAAGATGTGTTAAACACAGATTAATATTCATGTTTTAATAAAAGTGGCTCACTAAATTGTTGCATAATTGCGAAGAAATGGTGCTCGTGAAATGGGGATTTCACGAGTACAATCCGTCAAGGATTTCCTGGCGTTTTCTACCTTTCAGTCTTCTTCATTCACTGCAAGGACTTGATGAACTGCGAGTAATGTTAGTGCCAACTATCGGGAGAATCACCCTTTAGACTTGCCAAATGTTGGCAAATGAAGTAACACTGCTATTATGGCTCGAGATCTATCGAAAACATTGCGCGCGTGTTTTCCTAGTTAGGTAATGGACGTGCAAAAAAATAATCCGACTATTTCTTGGCAGTGCAAGTCGTGAGAACAAACTTTTCTTTTGCTTCTATTTTGTTAAGACAGTGGAACGACGCTGTTCAAGTACGCTCATAGTGTACTGAGTGCAAGAGCACTTTAATGGGCCGGGCTGTAGAATGTTGGTGTCGCCAGCAGTGACACTATGTGTAGCGTATTGAGCGCGTGCTCACGCCAAAAATAATTGTTCTCCGGGCGCCTTGAAGGCATCACTCATCATCATCATCATGGTTCACATAGCGTAAACTCAGGCAAAGCCACGTAAAAATAGAAAAATAAAGAGGAAGTAAGCATGATAGAGAAAAAAGGAAATTTATTTAAATAAATAAATAAAACAACAAAAAAGACGGGAAGAGAAAAAGAGGAAAGAAAGAAACCGAAGAGAAACGGGAAATGCTGTCCAGCTCCCCGATTCCCTCAGGCTTGGCACGCTTAGTGCAAAGCCGCCTTGATTTTTTTACAATGTAGCCCGGACACTGAAAGCCCAGACACTGAAAGAAAAAAAAGTAAATGCCCATGATCCTTGTACGTCTTAAGTCTCTGTTTCACTCTTTTTCAGTAGCGACTGGTGTTCGTAATTAACGACTTCATCTGGCGCAATATTTTCGTTTCTCAGCTAGACACTACCTTGATGCAGCACTCGAGATAAGGAAGCTGCTTGAGGTCGCTCGCGGTGATCTCGTGCTGACCATCTCGTCCGAAGGCGTCGTCCAGCTCCTTCTGCAGCTTGGCCTGCTTGTCGGGATTCAAGCCGAGGAGGTACAGCGTCCAGCTCATCGCCGCCGACGTAGAATCGGCAGCCTGCGTCCAGCATGTCACTCATTTGAACTCGTCCTTTTTGTCTCTCTTTTCCTCTAAATGTGCTCGAACGCCATGTTGTAGAAAGTACTTAGCGCTGCTAGGTGATCCCTGGGTAAACACTCCCTCGTTTACGCATACACACACATCACAAGCAGCGCTCACTACCAACAGTTTGTGGTGAGTGATTTGTATACGTATAAATATTATAAGACCAGTCACGCACAATGAACAGATGGTAGTGGGCGCTGTGTTTGTGTCAGTCTGTGTATCTTAAATGGATGTGTGTGTGAATGAAAGTATATTTCGAGAGAATACCAAGTGGCGCTAAGTACCATAAATATGCCGAGTCACCAACAACCAACAAAACAACAACTTCTAATGCTCGGATGTTATTGTTCTTTAGCGTTTCTGTTTATTTTTCTCTCACAACTTACAATCAAGCATAATTTGCAGAGTGTCTATGAGCAAAGCCTCTATTCCTGGAAGAGGTTATATCAGTCGGATTTACTGTCCTTAAAGAAATGAAAAGCAATCACAAAGCATTTCTAGTTCAATCGTGATTACATGTACTATCAGCGTCAAATGAAACCCGAACAGCGGCATCACGAAGGCTTGCCGCTGTTTGGGTTTCATTTCACGCGAATAGTACGTCATCACACGTATCCCAAAAGCACACATTTTCTAAGATAAACTGTTACGATGCTGTAAATACAGATCTACATGCTTCCCCCCACTATCGCAGCTAAATGTATAGTTACACAATGTTAGGCTAGAAGGCGCGGTCAACCCGTGATAGCCCCAAAATATCGCAGTTATTCTTTTATTTGTTAGCTCAGTTAGCTATGTTTCTATCACTCCATGCGAGAGCCGCAAAAACCGCGTGCGTATTAACGTAAGTCCAGGCAAGTCAAAATGCAATAGGCTTCAGCAAACTTACTGCAAATGTGACCGAGGTCGTGTCCTTTTCCAGTTCGTCCATGGTGTACGACGATTGGGCCGATATATGCTTCTTTATGGCGGCATCTAAGGCTGCCGGGAAAGACAACTCGTCGTCAAGATCGAAGTCGTAGCTTTCGTCTGCCAGCTTTTTTATTATCGCAGACTTCCTTTTCTCCATCACCTGCAGAAAAAAAAAAACGAAAGAAGAAAGAGACACCAATACAGGGTTACCGAAGCAAGGCCCAAGGATCCCTAAAACCCTACATGAAGAGGATCTTCATAAGATCGTATCTGTGTGTCCACTCACGAACATTCATTTACACTTGAGTTTATAGAGCTACGTTAGCTCTTCTTTTTCATAAACTATCCATTCATGATGAACCTGTGTTCGCTCCCTAGTGTGTTACTGACGCAATCAATACTACATCGTTGTTGCTTACTCTGAACTTCAAGGGATCTTCGGAACTGCCCTCTCAAGTATCTTCTTGCTGGGCGAGTCTGTGCATGTCTGTGGTGGGAATCGTTGCGAATTCAATCGGACGAACAGGAAGGAACCGACGATTACGATACTGCCTTATGCAAATTTCGAACGCAGCTGTTTTGGTGCTCTGATTTTTGGATAAGTTGAGGCAAACAATCTGATAGAGACATGTATATCCAGTTGCACACCACGTTGTAGTACTGTGAGCAGCGTGGACGCTTCCTTGCAGCATGTTTCACATCAACTACTGCAGAGGGAGCGTAGCGCGGCTGCTGCCACGGTCACCGGAAGACCGCGGAATGCAGCGCGTGGGTGCGTTCCACAACAGCCGGAGCAGACAGGCATCCGTTCATGCAGCACTTTATCTCCATATATGGTAAAGGTCAACACGTTCGCCGCATATATTTGTGACGATTGATTGATTTGTGGGCTTTAACTTTCCAAAACTACCACATGATTATGAGAGACGCCGTAGTGGAGGGCTCCGGAAATTTTGACCATTCGGGGGTTCTTTAACGTGCACCCAAATCTGAGCACACGGGCTTACAGCATTTTCGCCGCCATCGGAAATGCAGCCGCCGCAGCCGGGATTCGATTCCGCGACCTGCGGGTCAGCAGCCGAGTTCCTTACCCACTAGACCACCGTGGCGAGGCACCTTTGTGACGACGTCATCGACGACCGCATGACGGTGTGCACTACAGTGGCATTGTGCGTGACCGCCGCAGAACCTGCAATCTAGTTCTCCTTACGCTCTCCGCTCTATCACTGTTTACCATCCTACACTGCCTTCCACGCCCTAATCCACTCGGTCGGTTACGATGACGCCAACGCCGCTGAACACAGGAACGGAATCCTAAGAGCGTCGCTTTGAAAGACCGTATGCACGTTTTATGTCGGGGCCACGCCAACAGTGTTTCAAATTTTGGCTTTCCGTTGTCGCATCAATATAAAGTTTGTCACATATTGCCACATGAACTGCCAGTGCTTCAGCGCTACGCTCACTCCCTCTGTTGAAATTCCCACGTGACACGGACTTGAACAAGCGGCTGTAACAGCATTGTCACACACCACGCAAGACAAGACTGGAGAGTGACTGAGTGTGCGCGCGTGTGCTGCCTAATGTTCTGTGTTCATCTCTCTTCCCTCTCTCCTCTCTATATTTCATCTCCCCCATCCCCCTCCCATGTGCAAGGTAGCAAACCGGCTACCTATAGGCTGGTTAACCTCCCAGCCGTTCTTTTACTCCTATTTTCCTTCCTTCCTCTGTGCATTGCAAGCGTCGCGAACTAAGCGGTTGGAAATCGAACATGCGCACGAGCTCTCACCGAGGAGCCAGCGCACGTGACCTACAGGGATTGATTGATTGATTGATTGATTGATTGATTGATTGATATGTGGGGTTTAACGTCCCAAACCCACTACATGATTATGAGAGACGCCGTAGTGGAGGGCTCCGAAAATTTAGACCACCTGGGGCTCTTTAACGTGCACCCAAATCTGAGCACACGGGCCTACAACATTTCCGCCTCCATCGGAAATGCAGCCGCCGCAGCCGGGATTCGAACCCGCACCCTGCGGGTCAGTAGCCGAGTACCTTATCCACTAGACCACCGCGGCGGGGCATGTGACCTACAGGGAGAAAGCCAGCTAAGGGGCCAGTGATATTGACTGAGTCCGCTTTCCCTCTCTTTCGTCCTAGTTCACGCTGTCGCTTACGCCGGTGACGGCGACGCTGCTTAACGCAGAAACGGATGCTTTAGAAATTCCCTCCAGCGGTGATGGTATAACATATAGCCTTAACCACCTTCCTATAAGAATACGCCATCGAACGCTGCCAGTTCGTTTCGATGAAAGAGACGTCGGTGCATGCATCGTAAGTCGCAGTGTTAGGTGAGGGAGTGAACTAGCCTTTAGACGATAATGTTGCCAACGGGCCTGGCAAGCCCACAACATGCGCACCACGCCAATCTACCCAGTCGTCCATCTATTTCGTAACGTCGGTCTCAAAGCGCGACATAAGCAAGTGCTCGCCTATTGTTTCCCGTGAATTAGATTCCCACAATCTGCCGGGTGTGCGGGAGAATTTTTCTTTTTATAAGAACTTAAATACTTAGTCTGTCTTGGTTGAGCAGCTTTCATCTGAACGGTAGCAAAGTTAACCAGCATTGCGTGGCAAGAACAACTAAAGAAAGCCTTTGTAAGATAGTAGCTTATTAGGCTTGCCGTGATTGTCGCTACCTATCTTCTATGTGCCCACAATGCGCTGCTGAAGTTGACAACAGCGTGCCCTTTGCATAGGCCACCGGCCGTTGTAAACACCTTCTATTGTCTTGCTTCCTCATTACGTAATTTACTAGGAGGCGCCTCTCGTAGAGCTTTCCCGCTATCTTACACTTAGGTGTAAACACAAGGCCCTGTTTTTAAGCACACAATACTCCTTAAACGACGTTATCCATTCTTCTGTTCCTTCTAATTGCAAGAACAATAGCATTACGTAAGCTCTATGCTTGGCACTTATGGGCATAAGTGGCAAGTATATACATATATATATATATATATATATATATATATATATATATATATATATATATATATATATATATATATATATATATATATATATATATATATATATATATATATATATATATATATATATATATATATATTTATATATATATATGTGTGTGTGTGTGTGTGTGTGTGTGTGTGTGTGTGTGTGTGTGTGTGTACATTTTAGCAGGCAATAAAATCGAGGGAGGAAGAGTAGGAGTAGAACATGGCTTGCGCCTTCGAGTCTTCTTAAGAACCCTCCTCCGAGATTTTTTTTTTCATTTATATGGTAGCATGTGCAAACTTCACAATAAAAAATGATGCCGTCAGAGAGTGGATTAACCATGCGTACGTGATTATAATACCCATCACGTCGTTGAATTATCGGTATCCAATAAGAGATATACTGCAAGGTTCATTCGTATTTCACTTGATGTTGCCATGCATCGCCTACAATGAGCCACAGAAAGTGCACTAGGCATAAAGTATGCCAATAGCCCTTTCTATATCACGATGTGAATAAACAAGGAATATCCGGAACACCTGAACTTATTTTCAAACCAACCCTAAATGTCATTGAAAGCAGAGTTATTACCCCGGCAATTCAGAACCCCTGTTTTTTCCTAGCCCCATACGTCAACCTCCATCAAATGTCTCAACACAAACTTACCAATTCCTCAACGCATGCACATAAGACAGAAACATAAAGTCACATTCACGCAGAGCTAAAACTCAGAAGGCCCCATGCGTGTTCGTTTAAGGCGCCCAGAAGACGAAAGTCATTCGTTGTGGTTGGCATGCATGTACTTTTTGTGAATGTCCAACGCCCACTAAGTGGATTCACTAGTTCACAAATGAAATTTAGCTAACGAGACGAGCAATCACATTAATTTTGGTATTGCAGCATGTATGCACAATTATGCTTTCACTCGCTTTTGTATGAATTTGCTTTCCTAGACGTCTCGTAATACTTTATCGCTTCTCGTTCACGGACGAGTTCTATCCTTTAGGCAGTGAGCGTTCAAA